TGTCACAGTTCATGTCTGTACAATGTTTAAAGCACTCACGACACACCTGGAAACGTGCTGCCCTACCGGCACGTGCTTGCCAAGTGAATTACTGCTGAGGACGGGTGTGGGGGAGGGGTCCTTGCACTTCTAGGGACAGCTGAGCAACCCAACAGGGGAAGGGGAGGAATGGCCCCCAAGAGAGGCCCTAGACAATAGAAGGAGGCTTGTTTGGGGGAGGATGGATGCGGGTGAGGATGGAAGTCCAGGGTGCTTCAGAAGGGAGGGCCCAAGAGAGATAACATTCAGGTCCTCACAAAGGGCATGCACACAGAATGGAATTCTCTACAATGCAGCCCTTCATCTGACAGTTTCTGTACAGAAACGGAGACGCGGAGAACTATGCAGACCTCAGCAAAACATAATGGGTAAACCAGTACTCTGGGCAAACGTGAGATTGAAGAAATATAAAGCAGAATATAATTCAGAGAAGCTCAAATGCACAGAGGGAAAATGCCTGATATTATTTTTTAAAAGGTAAGCTAAAAACTTAAAATAAAGAAGTACATTTTGTACAATAATTCCAAAGAGGAAGGGCCGAGTATGGTAGTGCACGCCTGTAATCCTAGCACTCAGGAGGCTGAGGCAGGAGGATTGTTGCAAGTTCGGGGCCAACCTGGGCTACAAAGTGAGCTCAAGACCAGCCTAAACTGCATAGCGAGACCCTGTCTCAAAAAGACAAAAAAAAAGAAAATAATAATAATAATAATAATAATTCCAAAGATGAAACCATGGCAGAAATGCTGAAATTGTTATTAATTCCTTATCCTTTGTAGCCAAAACTGCCCATTTTTTTCTAAGGGCCACAAAAGTGATTGGGAAGAAACGATTTGCTAACCAATAGTACACCTGCTACCATCTGATTCTTAGTATAAGAACTAGCAATGAAGCTAGGCATGCCCAGAATCCCAGCACTTGGGAGGCTGAAGCAAGAGGATCACCATGTGAGGCCAGCCTGGGCTATACAGTAAGTTAAAGGCCAACCTGAACTACATAGCAAGACCCTGTCTCAAAAGAAAAGAACTAGCAATGAACAACAAATTTCTTCAAAGGCTATTTTTTCACCTAAATACCTACAATCAAAAGAAAACAGTAACAAAAATGTCTTATATTCATTTGAGGAATAGCAGCCAATCCTCTGCCCAAACTTAGCCAATCTTGTAACTAACGACTGCAGAAACTACCTTCTAAGGTACATTATCCTACACAGAAGACTCAGTTCTCCAGTAAAGGAAACACAGCTTAGTAAATGTAATTTAAAATGTTCTTACGAGTTTGGCCAATACTCTTGGCAATAATTCTTGAGCAGATTCTCACTCCTGTTTCCGGCACTTTAAGGAACCAAAAAGAGGCAAAAAAAAAACCGCAAAGACAAAAATCTACCGAATTCCACCAAGCACTTGGCCTAGCAAGACGCTAGACAGCAGACAGTGGAAGAAGGTTAGCACCTGGCCCCAGGTGAGCAGCCTCACAGCTCTCACCATGCCATGGCAACGCCTACGACTCCTGCCTCCCAGTACATCATTTCAAATCCTGGCCTTCCACATCTGTGTAATGGCAATCCAGGCTATTAAAAATTCCAAACTGTGATCAACGCAGAAAGCTCATTATAATGAGTGGGAAGAAGACCCTCTCCTCGTATTACATATATAAATATTATGTATGCATACATTCATACACACATATAAAAAGGATAAATAGGCACATATGCCTGTAGACATGGCAAGCAACCCTGGAATAACAGGATGAGAACCGCAGGCTGGGACTGGAAGAATAATGATCTTTCACTGAACACATTATGTACTCTAAATGTTCACCTTTTACCTGCATAAGTTATTTTACTATTTTTTTTGTTGTTGTTGTTTTGTACCAAGAATCGAATTCAGGGCCTCGCACTTGCTAGGCAGGCACTGCGCTGCTAAGCCGCATCCCCAGCCCCTTGCATAAGTTACTTTCAATAAATGCAATGTCTAAGAAGTTAATACAAGCTATATATTGGTTCCCGGCATGCTATCTAGAAGCTGGTTTCTCCTTGCTGCCTAAAACCTGATCTGTCTCTCAGGTTTTCTCTCCCCCTCTTTTTCTCTATCTCCGTATTTTGTAGTGCAGTTCTACTGGCATCTCCGCCTTCCTCATGCCTACGTCCTAACTCAGTGGCGAAGTTATCAATCCCTCTTTGGGGCTTCCCTCCGAAGTCCTGTGAAGGACCATCTGCACTCCTGCCCCAAGCTATAGGCATCTTCCTGTAGAAGGCAGTGCTCCCAGAACCACGGCCCCCAACCCCATGCCCTGCAAAGGAGCACACCACACTGGCTCTGACATTCCCCTCCCATCTCAGTGCTTCTTCAAGAGTTCAGGAGGATCCCAGGGCACTCAGCTGCAGAGCCACAAAGGATCTGGCTACATCTGCCTTGACCCTGAACCTTCTCTCCTGTTCCCCTGTGGCTGCTTTCTGTAACTTTCCTTCTTGCCGCTCTGAAAAACCCTATCAGAACCTCTTTTGTCCAGTGAAAAGAAAGTCTGAAAATGTTCTAAGTACATATTATGAGCAATCAATCCAAAAAAAAGAAAAGTACTGGTTCAAGTTAGGATTTTGCAATTTAATCATGGAGAAAAAGCTAGAGTTAAAGCAATAGGCTTTCAGTAGAAACCCTATTTTGAATTTCAATCTTTTCTCAGGCTAGCGACAGGCGATATGAACGGCAGCAAGCTGCAGCTCCTAATTAGCCACGTGATTATGGAGAAAAACAAGTAAACTGTACATTGTACTGTGTTCTTCAGTTGTGATGTTCAGCAAGTTAGGAACATTAAATGCATACTGAGGAAATTTTCACTGTACTCTGGGATTTTCAGGACACAGTACTATAATAAGTCAGGAAGCATCTGTCCTTGGTCCTTTGTTAATCTTGGAATCTACAGACACACAGACGCAGCTACCTGCTTCCTTTGATGCATGCTTACTTCCTCCTTCACAATGGCCAAGACTCTGGGATCTTTAAGACCCCCTAAACCATTCACCTCATTTTTGAGAAACAAAAACAAAAGGCCCAGGGAACTCAACTGACTTGCCCTAAATTGCAAAGCTAACTACTGACACACAGTTGAGCAACCTGGTTCTCCAGTTAAGAAAGTAATTTGTGAAAGTTTAGTTAAGGTGGTACCACACAGTTTAGTGTATTTCACCGAGTCGTAGTAGATTCTAAACATATACTGTGATCTTCGTGTTTGTCCGTGCCCCTTATCCAAAGTTTCACTTGCTGCTGTTGCAGTTACCTGAAGTCAACCATGGCCTGGAAACATTAAATGGAAAAATCACGGGGCTGGGGATTTAGCTCAGCGGCACAGTGCCTGCCTGGCAAGCGCGAGGTCATGAGTTCAATTCCCGGTACCGGAAACGCGCCCCCCTCAAAAAAAGGAAAAAAATCACAAAAACAAACAATCCTTAAGGTTTTTTGGTTTTTTAGGGGTTTTTTTGGTCTTTTTGAGATAGGGTCTCCTTACGCAGTTCAGGTTGGCCTTCACTTTGTAGATCTGGCTGGTCTCAAACTTCCAACGATCCTCCTGCCTCAGCCTTCCAAGTGCTAGGATTACAGGCGTGCACCACCATGCCTGGCTCAATCCGTAAGTTTTAAATAACTCCATTACAGCGTGTTGTTACAGTTGTCTTATTTTATTAGTAGTGGTTAATCTCTTACTGTACCTACCTTATAAATTAAGCTATCACAGGTGTGTATACATAGGAAAGAACATAGTATAGACATAGATGGTTCAGGAATATCCTTGGTTTCCAGCATTCAGTGGGGTTTTCAAAGTTGTACGTCACAGATAAAGGAGGGCTACTTTATTTAACTGGCAGAAAGCCTAGAATTCCCCAACGTCTGTTTAATGGATTTCTTGGCGTGCCTGCATTCTACACCAGCACCATCCAGTGAAACTTTCTGAGACAGAAACGTATTATTCAATATGGTCGTCCTCAGTTCCTCTCTTAATAGGCTCTGTTTGAGCAAGGCATAGTGTCACACTCCTGTAATCCCAGCACCTGGGAGGCTGAGGCAGGAGAATGGTAAATTTGAAGCCACTCTGAATATGAAAACACAGTGAAAACACATTGAGCATGAACAACACAGTGAAATTGTCTCAAAAAAAATCAAAAGGATTGCCCTTAACTGTATGTGGCTGCTGAGCACTCAGAATGTGCCTACGGTGTGGAGGAAACAGATTTGTCCATTTTATTTCACATAATTCATTTAAACCTAAATGACTACAGGCAGCTGGGAGCTTCCACTGTCGACAGTGATATCGAGACCTTGAGGAGAGCTTGAGGCACGCTCTGGAGATCAGACAGGGCAGGGACAGCGTGCACTGGAGGCAGATGGACAGATGCACACGCCTTCGAGTTCAGTCTACCCGGCCACTCACTTCACTTCCTACACCTCAGTTTCTGCTTGTTAGAACCCGAAACCCATCAGAGTGACTCTGGGGCAAACAAAATAGACTGGCACACAGACAGCTTACTTAGCACGTGAGAGAGAATGCAAGCTGCAGAAGTGCCCTCTATGTTCCTCCCAGGTCATTCAGATCTGACACCCGGCATATGACTATGTCAGTCATTTTCTCCAAAGGAATGCAGTTCTAGGAAACAGGAGTCCTAGCCCTACCAGAGATGACTCCCAAATGAAGAGTGGGTCCCGATGAAATGTGAAGAATCTCGCTCCTCCCTGACAGCCTGTAATTGTGACTCTCAACAAACAACCATGGGGGGGGGGAGCTGTCAAACCTTCATTTCTAGGCCCCTCACCTCCTTGTTAGGCAGACAAGAGGAGATCTTCTCTTGAGAGGGAGAACCTTGTAAGAAGCTCCTTTAAGCTGTCAGTGTCATGAGAGGCTCAGAAGGTCCTGAGCCTGGCGGCAGCTCTTCCTCCTCCCTCGGAGCATCCTGACAGAGACCCAGCCCCACTTACCTGAGGCCACAGCAGCTGTAGTACTGGCTGGCGCCGGCTGCGAGGGGCTGCCACTCTCGGTCATGAGGCACGGGTTGCTGCCAGCGTTCTCTCTCTTGACAAGCAGCTCAGCAGCACTGGGCAGTGGAATGGGGTGGCTGATGCCCAGTTCCTCCTCCTGGGCCTGCTGCCTTCTCAGGGCCACCTACAGCACAAGACACTGAGTCATCCTCCAGCCCCCAGAACCACTTGCGCAGCTTTGCCAAAACCACAACACTTATTTGTTCCAGGGCTCAGGTCTGAGCATCTCACTTCTTTTTCTCATGTTTTGTCTTTTCTCACTTCTTTTATCTGGTTGTTCAGGTAATCATGGGGGGCCAAATCTGAATATGGCTTAAGAGTCAGAAATCTGGCCCAGAGTAGGTGCTCCAAAACACCTGTTAAACAAAGGGGTATCAGACTATCAGGAAATCATGTTAGCCATGGAGAATCAGAAAGAACTACAGAATTAGCCAGTGAGGGGCGTTCAACGTCAAGAGAAGAAAAAACACTGATAATGTAGATGAACTGGATTGCTCACTCCTTCCTTCTACAAACATGTAAAAAAGCACACCACACCAGCAACAGCAAACCAGTGAGGTTAGACTACATCCCAAGTTCCTCACCATGTAGGAGAAACAGGAGACAAGCAAGCATGCAACTAGAAGACAAAATTGAGAGAGGTCCACACCAACCTCACACAGGAAATTCAGAGAGGAATGTCTTCAAAATGTAAGATTCGGCCAAAAGTAGTGTTCCAACAGAGTCAAGAACAGGGGAAGCAGGACTTACACAGGCAACAAGGACGGAGCAGAGCAGTCCAGAACAATCTGGAACAGGATAGCCAGGAAAGGCAGGGGCTGCTCATGAAACCCTCAGATCCAGCCGTTTCCCAGGGAAGAAGGAAAATATAGAAAAGCATGAAAGGGGGCTGGAATCGTGTGCTCAAGTCCCTGGGTAAGGAGGGGCTGGGAATGAGGAAAAAAAGTGAGGGCAGGTGTGCTGTGCCGAATTTTGGGTGAAAGGAAGGCAGAGCCAGAACTAAGATAATAAACTGACACACCTATGAAACTCTTCCCTGTGCTTCCTCAATTTCTCATCTTTTAAATGACACTGTTAAAAGTCTTCAAAAGGCTTAAAGAAAATAAATTGTGTTTTTTGTTTACTACATGTAACAGAAGAGATTTTCCACTGAAACTGACTGTGTAATGACCATAAAATAAGAAAGTGAAGTACTTGTACCTCAGAGCCCCAAAAACAAGCCTAAAGGTAAATTAAAACAGTCAACTAAAAACACATCTACACTACAAAGCTGGGCAAAGTGATGCAGTCTTAGAATTCCAACTACTCAGGAGGCAGAGGCAGAAGGATTCCAACTGGGACGCTGGAGTAGACACTGAGACCTGGTCTCAAAGCAGTAAGGGCGGGGGTAGACAGTGAGACCTGGTCTCAGAACAGTAAGGGCTGTGGGTGTACGGCATCTCATGGCCCTTTGGGTTCAATTCCTAGTACAGCCAAAAACAAACACAACTATAACCTGCATATCGTATAGTCCAAACTAGATGACTGACTTGGAGATAACTTCTACTCAAACCAAAGTCCTCACCCAATTACTGACAGCTAAACTTAAATCTTGGATCTTCTATTAACCTACAGTTTTCAACACAGCATCAATGACTTTGAACAAATACAAGTTTTCAAAAAATCTACAAACCTCTAAACCACCCCGCAAATCCCATACACACCCAAAATGCTCGGATTATTCCATAAATTCAGACACCTTTAAAAAGACCTTCTTTCACAGTTTGTTAAAGGTTTTTTAAATGAGGAAGAGGATGACAAATAAAAGCAAATAGTTTAGAATCATATGTATGATCAGTTTCAAACTACAGTACTTCAGAATGCCTAAAAATTATAGGGGTTTTTAAAGATTCTAGGGTAACAGAAATCTGACGTGAAGAATCCTCAAGTTTCACGTTCTAAAAGTAACCCTCAGGCTTTTAACGGAGCAATCTGCCCCTTCAAAAATAGTCCCCCTCGTAAAAATTATTCAAAGTTAATGCCATCCACCAGGGCACATCTCCTTAAGCCCCCCAAGTACTCTTCACATGAAATAACTAAGCCAATGACTAAATGTCCACAATTCTTTTTTACCTACAAGTATAATTTAGAAGTCCTTAAGTTTTTAAAACTAATCTCAGTGTGATGTTATTTCAATATCACTCCCCGAATATTCTTTCCATTCACTACAGGTTAAGCTAAAATCCACGGGGAAAACTGTATTTTCAAGCACTGCCCTTGCAATAAGTGAAGCCAAAATGTCCAGTTTAAAGCACATTTTCAGAAATCTGTTGTACACAGAAAGCAGGTAATCTTTAAGCTTTTGTGCAGTCCTGTTCAACCTTCCCATCTAAACCACTTTCAAAAGAGAATTTTACCGGTTTCCAATCAAAAGTAGCACATTGTCAGCAAACATTTCTTCCGAATCTTTTCTTTTAAAATAACCTGTCTCAAAAAGATGAAACAACTTTTCGGTGGAAAGAATGTATATTACTGCCTTCCGAAACTCCCTCTTAGGCTACCAACGGCATTATTACGGTTAAGATGCTAAATTACTAGCCTGCTGCCGAAGCTATTTGAAAAAGAAAACCCGCGCGCGCATTTTCCTTCCCCTTTGCATATTTAAAAAAAATTCTTAGCCATCATTAAAATATATTCGAAGTCATTTGAGCGTGAACAATCTGGGTCCAGACGGCAAAGTTTTGAACGACGGCTACGGCGTTTCTCCCGGGCTCAAAATGGCTGAGCGCGGGACCGCCACGCGCCCGCCGCGCCGGCTTTTTCAGAAAGGCGCCAAGGCGCCCCGCTGCCCGCCGCTCGGGGGCCCCTTTCTCCCGACCACGGCCGCCCCGACGCGGACACCCCGAGCCCTTCCTTCGTTTCCCGTCACCTTGCACGCGGGGTCGAGGATCGCGGGGACCCGGCGCCCGCTTCCGCAGTGCCGCGCCCGCACCCGGGACTCGAGCAGAGCGCCGCGCAACTCCCGGGCGCGGGGTGCAGATCCCAGGGGCTCCGGCGGCG